CCTCTGGGCTGTGGCGGCACCACGTCTGCCTTGTGCTGCCAGCACCTTTACTCACAGCCGCGTCCTGTCACGCCGTGCCTCCCTGGAGCTCACTGTGCAGCCCCCACTAGGACCCCGCGATCACAGCAGAGGAGTTTGGTGGGGGAGGCGAATCCCAACACTGAGGTCGGAGAGGCCCCGTGGGACAGGCAGCCTCGCCCCCTCCCAGCACATCTCCCAGTGTCTGCCTGTGTGGTTCTGATCCCTGTGAGGCTGCGTCCGCACCCCCGAGGGCCGACGAGGGGGGAAACACGACGGAAACCGAGATCTCAGCACGCGTGCCTGCAGTGGTCTGAGGCCGGCGCGCGGGGCCCGCGGCGCTGTTCCCGGTAGAACTGGGACATCGTTCCAGGTCGGCTGGTAGAAGCCACAGAACTAAAGAAATCTGTCAGATCTGACGTCCCGGCTGCCTTCTCTTCTCCAGAGCAGCAGAGGTGCTGGGGCTGCTACCGCGGACTCCGTCCTCGTCCCCGCGCACCAGGGGTCAGGCCCGGCGGCTTCAGGAGGCCTCGTAGCACCAGGGGGCTCGCTCGCAGGGTCTCATGTGCTTTCCTGCGACGTGAGTCCCACACCTGTGAGGAGAGTTGGGGAAGGGCTGGCGGTATCCATGGGCACCGTTGGACACGTCACCATGACAACCCAGGAGATGCTGGGAGCTGCACCTTTTTCGTCCTGCCTCAGCGTTTCCCAGCACCTCCACGCCGTTTCTCTGTGGAGACGTGGGCCGTCGGTGAAGTGCGTCTGTCACTTGAGGCCACACCCACACAAGTGAGTGGCTCACTTCCAGTTGGACTTGGGAAAAAGGTGCACAGCTGTCTCCTGCCCATTCTTCACACATGGAGTGGGCGCTCCTCGAGGCTCGGCACCAGCTCCTCAGGACGAGGCAGGGCGCTGTGCGCGATGCCGCCAGTTCTGTGGCCCTGCGCCAGGCAGCTGGCCCACCCCGTCCTGCCAGTTCGCCCTCGGGCACCTCCGCTGCCCATCAGATAGAGCTGGGGCCTCCGATGGCTGTCGGGGTCTCTGCCCTCCAGGCCAGGCCCGCAGGTGGGACAGGAGGGATGTGCTTCCTTGTACCTCTTGGCCCCGAGCCCGTGCAGCACTCCAGGGGACAAGGGACGGGGCTGCGTAATCTGGAACAGTTCACATGGAAAGACGGTAAGGGCTGTCCCCGTCACCAAACGCCAACCAGCACAAACATAACTGGAGGATTAATTTCCGTCCCAGTAATTGATAAAACGAATCGACCAAAATCCAGTAAGAATATAGGAGATGCAAGGATATCAAGCAGCTCGCTGGGTCTCACCAACAGTCCGATAGCTGGAGATGCCCAGCACGAACGAGTCCTCCCACTCACATGGTGCCCAGGAACCAGGGCGGCGAGTGTGAGACGCACACAGTGCCCAGGAACTGTGGTGACGAGTGTGAGACGACACGGTGCCCCAGGAACTGTGGTGACGAATGTGAGACGCACACGGTGCCCGGGAACCAGGGCGATGAGTGTGGGATGTGGAAGATGGAATCGCAGTGTTCTCCTGTAACCTAATGGGGTTAAGCTAGAAATCAACAAGAGGAGGTCTAGAAAGCCCCCACGTTTTGAAAATGAAGCCGCAGCTTCTAAAGAACCGAGGCTAAGAAGTCAGAGGGAAATCGGATATGCTTTGAACTGAATGACTAATAAGAAGTAACATCAGAACTTGTGGGGTGCGGCCAAAGCAGGGCTGAGAGCTGGCATCTTCCCGTAAACGCAACGTCAGAAAAGAAGAAAGACTTAAAATCAACAAGTTTGCTGTCCAGCTGTAGAAGGTAGAAAAGAAGAGAGTGAGCCCCAAGGAGCAGAAGGAAGGAAACGAGAATGAAAGGGCAACAATCAGTGAAACGGGACAATCCGTGAAATAGGAAATGGGGACGATCTTTGAAGGGTCCAGCTGGTCCAGCTTTGCACAGAAGACACAAGCCTCAAAAGTGACGCCGTCCAGTGCCCCACGTCTACATCACGTGCCCCCACGTCTACATGCTGTGGCTCTTTAAATGAACATTAGTGAGATTTAAAAGAGTGGAAACATTCAGTTCCGTGGTCCCACCAGCTGCATTTCACACACTCAGGCCCCAGGTGGCTGGAGGCACCTTGGACATGCTCCCCTGGACACGCACCCCAGTGGGGCTCTCCCAGCACTGCTGCTCCGAGTGTGATGCCCGCGCTGCAGCACCAGGGCACGTGTTAGACGTTCAGGTTCCAGCGCCCCATGCAGATGCCCTGCGGAGTCAGAGACTCTGGGCGGGTGGGCCTTGGGGTGGTTGTGGGGCACACAGCATCGGGGACCAGTGCTCGGTGGTTGTGGCGCGCATGGCATTGGGGACCAGTGCTCGGTGGTTGTGGGGCGCACGGCATCGGGGACCACGGCTCGGTGGTTGTGGGGCGCACGGCATCGGGGACCAGTGCCTGGAGAGACTCGGGGATTGCGGGGCTGTGCTGCTTTTGCTTCTGTCACCAACCGGTCACTGGCAGCGAGGCGGGCAGGCTGGGCAGCGCCTCTGTGTGGTGTTGCTCATCCCTGAGCTGCCCCCAAACCGGGCCAGGAGGGCACGGCCTCGCAGGCGGGGTCCCAGGGAAGGTGGGGGGAGGGCGGGGGCCAGCGTGCCTCAGCAGGGGCCTCGACCCGGAGAAGGTGCTGAGAGGGGATGTCCATTCACGGGGGTCAGAGCCTAGGATGGGATGCACTCCGGCCACCGCGCCAGCGGTCCCTGCAGGCAGACCGTCTCTGCGGACTCGGAAGGAGCGTGCCGGTGACGACCCAGCGCCTGGTGTGACGGTGCTGGCCTGTCCT